GGGGGGGGGTGAGAGAGGGAGCAGCTCAGAGTGGTGCAAAGCCCAGGGTGAGGTGTCTGTGATGTCAGAGGAATGGGGGTGGGGCTGAGCTGAAACTCTTGCAACACCTATCTGGTTCCCGGAGAACAGACAAGAACGGGCATTGTTCAAGGAAGCTCAGGCAAGCCCTGTGGGAAACGCAAAAGGCAGTCGGATTCAATACGCAGGAATATAGCAGGGAGACGTCCAAAAAGAAGCTTTACGGTAAGCCTCGCTCACGGCCACCTGTTTATTCGTTTACTCCTCCCAAACCTTGCGTTCAGACTTTGAAATATGTTTGTTTAAAAGAGTTTAGAAAGCTCAAAATGGTAGAAGAGCTTTTTTATTTCCCCTACCTGAGACACACTCGCTCTTGCAGCCCCAAAAAATATCATCAATGCTTACTCCAGCGTTGAGCAGTTGACTTTTTCTCTTGGCGTGCTGTGCATCCAAAATACACAGCGGAGTGTCACCTGAATTTCTTGCCGATTGATTATTAAAAGCAAAGATAAAATGCGAAATCGCACGCAGCGGCCGCGTAATAGTTGAGTCGTGCAGGTAATGTGGCTGTCGCACTGCTCTTGCCACCTGCTTTTCCTGCCAAGACTTTCACAGCCGCGATTATATTCGCGCACGAGCTGTGACGAAAGCAAGCCACTTTTCTGAACTGTTGCCTCTTTTTGCTTTATGAGTCCAATCTCGGATAAAATGCCTTTGAATTTACGACAGAAATGGATACACCACCCAAGAATCACCTGTGGTTGAATTCTTGAGAAATACTTTTTTTTTATTTTTATTTTTTTTTATCCAACACGTCCAATTCTGGAGACTTTTGATCGCCTGTGGAGTCAATTTTCACCATTGACAAATTTCTTTGCAGTTGTTCCCGTGGAAGCAGTTGGAGAATTTGTATTTCCGAGAGAAGAAATTTGCTGTGGAAGTCATCGACCCCCACAGGTCAGTTAAGCGATCCGAAAAGATCTTTTGATCTTCTCTCTTTGCTGTGGTGTCCTTTAAATAAAAAAAAATAAAAAAATCTTTGATTTGATTCCCCACTTTGGCACTTTGTCAAAGCTGCAGTTGTTGTGAAAGCACTATATCAATCAGGATGTATTGTATTCATCTTCTTCTTATTTTTTTTTTTAATGGCCGCCGCTCTCGCTATCACCATGGATGTTGTTAGTCTACATTTAGCACACTGTGAAAGCTGTCTGCCGACAGCGCTCCGTTTTAGGGCACCTTGCGAATGATGGAAAGCTGCCTTTGAAAAACAAGCGCTTGCCTGCTGCGAGCGCGGGCGCTTGATTTCATCTCGGAGGCGTCGCCTCCCTCGACCGGAGCTCCTTTTTAAAATGGTGCCGTTCCTCCAGAACGTAGGACACGAATGCCAAGATTTTAAATTCGGATGGATTTTGACGCTGTTGTGTGCGTAATCGCTCCCGGTTTGTTTTGTGCCGCCTCCAGCTCATTGAGGGTAATTTGCAACGGTCGCCGCTAACTTCTTTGATATCCTGCGAGGATTCACAAAACTTGTTGGGGGAAATCGCAGTTGGTGTTTTGGCATGACAAGGAAAACTGTTTTCACTCTCAACAGTGGAACGGTGAGCAAGCGGACCTTTGGGCAGACCGGCCTTGTCATTCACTCCTGGTATGCCAGCCATTCTCTAATTAAAACCATCTGGGTGATGGCCATCAGTCAGCACCAGTTCTACCTGGACAGAAAGCAAAGTCGAGTGAGTATGCGCCTCTTGCTCCCTGCCCCAATCAGTTCGACGTCTGCTTCTTTTACGCGCATTGGCCGTCGCGCGAGCCAAATGCCAGGATGGCAGTCGTGAACTATTTGTACATGTTGTGTATGTGTATTTTGTGATATCTACTGTACACACGTGGACAAAATTGGTGGCGCCCGAGGCCTGGACAAAACTGATGGTACCCCTAACTTGAGAGTGAGACTTGCTCCACTCTTTGGGAGCAAAAACTGTTCCACTTGGCTCAGGTGTGAAGTGAAGGGTGCTCTTCCCAGATGGCACGTTTGAGCTCCTTCCACAGATGTTCAGTAAGGTTTTCGAAGAAGGCTCATACAAGGTGACTTCCGAATGCTCCCGAACGCTTTGCTCTGAGCCGTCCTTGGGTGTCTAGGGTTATTTCCCTGGTCACAAGACCCCGGGCCCGCAATTGAGACGAAAATACCTTGATTTTCTTGAGATGTCACGAGACAGTGCACTGATTCAAGACATCTTGCGCCAGATGCATTCAAGCAGCCTTGCGCCTTCATGCGCTTGCCTTTAATGTTCTTTGTAACCGCTCGAGACAACACTGTCCTTCGATTCATCCTGGACTAAGTTTTTGTGTGTTTACCAAACAGTCCAGTGACGACTTGTCTCCTTCGAAATTAGCCGATTGGCTGATTACAAGTTTGATGACTCCTGTGATGCTCATTAGAGGACACACCTTTTCAATCTTTTCTTGGGGTATGTCTTCATTTTTGTCCAGGCCTGTTTCATGACTCCTCTTTTTTTTTTCTTTTTTAACACCAGTAATTCAGTTGAACCACAATCTAAAAGCAATGTCTGATTCTCATTGGTTCAATTGCATTACAATATTGTAATCGTTATTTTTCTTTTTTTTGTAGTAGTAGTATTTTCTTTAACGGATAGGCTCCCACAATGTTGCCCACGTGAATTTAGAGTGTGAAACTAAATTGCTGCCGTGCTGTAGCTGCACTGAAGCTTAATGGGAAGAGAGGATTTTTTTTTTTTTTTTTTTTTTTTTCCGAACGGGGGGGTCGGATAGTAAGAACTGTTGATGCGCGAGACCTGTGCTGAGCGAACATTTTATTTCTCAGTCTGTTGCGTTGGCTGAGTGGTGAATCAGTAGGATTGTCTGGTTGTTAAATGAGCCTTGAAAGGAAACGCTGAGTTAAGCTTAGAATCGACCCAAGGCGCTTTGAAAACACCCAGGCAAAGATTCTGACAGCATGGCCGAGGGGGTTCTCCTTATTTTACTCGTCGTCTCCCAATTACGAAAGGATCCAAATTACCCCGTCATTTTTTGTGGCTGTGCCACCCCTCGGAGCACGTTTGCTGAGCCAACACACCGTGAGGGCTGATGCCCTTTTGTAGTGGAGAAACATCATACTGTTGCTGGGGAAAAACCAGGTTTTGCAGCTCCTACAAAAATATGGAAAATTAAGGACTTGGCTTGATACTTTTTTTTTTTTTTTCAGTTCTGGAAAATGGATGAATTTTTGTATGAAAGTACGCGATGCACCTCGGACATGGTCACTCGTCAGAAAATGACATTGGTGTACAGTGTCAGGCTCTCCAGGAGTTGTGAGGGGGGAAAAAAAATCATGACATTGTTCCAAATAAATGCGCATCACCCTTTTGCGGTTGGTTAATGGCGAGCAAACATAGCAACCTGATTTCTGATAAGTCAACATGAAGTACTCTGAGGGCGGAACTTAGCTCATTTAAACCCACCACGAGTGATTTCATCATGAACTTGAGGTATGATCTCATTCCTTGATTGATGACATAGCAGTTGTCGCAACGCCCTTTCATGAATCGGTTGCAGCTGAGGAATTGAGGAAAGAATTCAGAGTACAAATGATACAATTTCATTTTTTTTCTATGGAGGAGTCTGGCAATTCAGATTCTGGAAAAAGGGATGTAATTTGGACATTTCGACCGACCGTGTAGGAACTCTGGATTGCGTTTGAAAAAGGCAGAAGGCGCATGTGTTCGGATAGGACTAGATTGCCGAAGAACCCGATTGATGCGAGATCTCCCCGTTTTCTCTCTATAGTCAAATATGACCACGGCGAGGAGTTCAGGAGACATCGCCATGGATCTCACAGAGATCAGCGCCCAACGGATGAGTACATTTCCAGGTCCCGAAAGCAAACACCAGCTCATCATGGCGAGCAGCGGAAGCCTCATCTCGGCCGGTACACCCCCCCCCAACCCGATTGATGCGAGATCTCCCCGTTTTCTCTCTATAGTCAAATATGACCACGGCGAGGAGTTCAGGAGACATCGCCATGGATCTCACAGAGATCAGCGCCCAACGGATGAGTACATTTCCAGGTCCCGAAAGCAAACACCAGCTCATCATGGCGAGCAGCGGAAGCCTCATCTCGGCCGGTACACCCCCCTTTAAGAACAAGAGAAAAAACTTCACGACGCCCTGAAACAGAAACTGGAGGAACTGAAGAAGATCTGCATGTGCGAAGCGGTTAGTCTGTCAAGTCTTCCACTCTCGATGAATGTATCCCGGGGGTCGACCAAAAGGCCGTTTCTCTCGATTGTTTTTTTTTTTTTTACAAGGATGCATTGTTGACTTTGCTCATTTCCAATTGTCTCTGTTTCACTTTTACCCTCAGGACCCTCATTTGAGGAATCTGGAAAGCAGATTTGCTTTGCAGCAGAAGATCGTGGAAGCAGCCATCAAGTTAACCAAGGAGATGGATCTCAGCAAGACGGTGAAGAAAAAGAGGAAAAACAACTGTCTGGATGCGATGAGAAAACTGGAGGAGATTGAAGGGGAGATCAACGCCTATCGGATCAGGACGGGAAAGAAACCCAGCCAAAGGGCTTCGCTGATCTTGCCAGGTAGCATCAATACACCGCAGATGGCGCGCAAACGTGAGACGGGCAATCGTTGGATGCTTCTTTTGCTGTTAACGCGGATCCTTTTCGGCGTTTGAGAAAACCGTTTTTCCTCTTGTCATTTTTAGACGACGTCAATCCATCAGAGCTGAGCTCTCTGTCTGACAGCTTCACACTGGATGAAGGTAATGACCCATTTTTGATCAGATGCCAATTTCTGGAGCATGCATCGGGTTCAAGCGAGCCTCTTTGACCTCCCAGATGACGAGCTGAGCTCCCAGAGGCAGCGCTCGAGTTCACTTCAGTACTCCCCGAGGCCCCACCATGCGGAGACACTGGGCATCCACTGCGGCAATGAGAGACGAGCTTCGGCGAACGACCAGCAGGTAGACGGCAGGTACGTATCACCTGTGGTCCAAACAATATTAATATTTGGACATCTGCTGCTTTTGTGTGTGTGCGTGTGTGTGTGTGTGAGTGCGTGCGTGCGTGGAGCTCGTCCAGACCTGCGAAGCCTCTCCAGGTCTGCATTCCTGCCAATTGCCACAACCCCCGCATGAGCCTTGAAAGGAAACGCTGAGTTAAGCTTAGAATCGACCCAAGGCGCTTTGAAAACACCCAGGCAAAGATTCTGACAGCATGGCCGAGGGGGTTCTCCTTATTTTACTCGTCGTCTCCCAATTACGAAAGGATCCAAATTACCCCGTCATTTTTTGTGGCTGTGCCACCCCTCGGAGCACGTTTGCTGAGCCAACACACCGTGAGGGCTGATGCCCTTTTGTAGTGGAGAAACATCATACTGTTGCTGGGGAAAAACCAGGTTTTGCAGCTCCTACAAAAATATGGAAAATTAAGGACTTGGCTTGATACTTTTTTTTTTTTTTCAGTTCTGGAAAATGGATGAATTTTTGTATGAAAGTACGCGATGCACCTCGGACATGGTCACTCGTCAGAAAATGACATTGGTGTACAGTGTCAGGCTCTCCAGGAGTTGTGAGGGGGGAAAAAAAATCATGACATTGTTCCAAATAAATGCGCATCACCCTTTTGCGGTTGGTTAATGGCGAGCAAACATAGCAACCTGATTTCTGATAAGTCAACATGAAGTACTCTGAGGGCGGAACTTAGCTCATTTAAACCCACCACGAGTGATTTCATCATGAACTTGAGGTATGATCTCATTCCTTGATTGATGACATAGCAGTTGTCGCAACGCCCTTTCATGAATCGGTTGCAGCTGAGGAATTGAGGAAAGAATTCAGAGTACAAATGATACAATTTCATTTTTTTTCTATGGAGGAGTCTGGCAATTCAGATTCTGGAAAAAGGGATGTAATTTGGACATTTCGACCGACCGTGTAGGAACTCTGGATTGCGTTTGAAAAAGGCAGAAGGCGCATGTGTTCGGATAGGACTAGATTGCCGAAGAACCCGATTGATGCGAGATCTCCCCGTTTTCTCTCTATAGTCAAATATGACCACGGCGAGGAGTTCAGGAGACATCGCCATGGATCTCACAGAGATCAGCGCCCAACGGATGAGTACATTTCCAGGTCCCGAAAGCAAACACCAGCTCATCATGGCGAGCAGCGGAAGCCTCATCTCGGCCGGTACACCCCCC